TGGTGTTGGTAAGTAAGGAAGCTCATTTCCACGTTAGTAAAGCAGCTTTAATAATGCTGAAGTCTGGGACTCAGCATCAGTGCTCAGGATCACCCTTTATTATTGTATTTAAGTGCAATTTTCTTAACTCTGATAACACGGTATAATTATGAACATGTCAATGTAAATATGCCAGAATTAGCAAAAGTAATTTGCAATAACAACATACATTAATAATTTTTCTCTCCTCTCCAGGCCTTGAAAATGTTGAAAATTATGAAGTGGAGTATGGAAACAGATTCAGGATGAGGGTGTCAAGAAGGGTTCACTTTATCGAGTTAATCCCCAAGAACAAATCAGAAGGGACGATCTTGTGGGAACGTGACGAAGATCAGCCCAAAGAGGGCAGTAGATGGAAGATGACTGAGACCTTATATACCATCAGTTCTTTAGCCCAAAAAGACAGTGGCCGCTACATATTCAAAGACAACTATGGGGAATTGATGCATGCGAAGATCATTGACGTAAAAGGTGTGGATCTTTTTAGTCCTTGATTTATCTAATGTTTTTTTTCTTTTTCTACAGGTGTGCTAAACTTTTACCACAAGCCTATAGTTAGATTGACCTACAAATCAATGAGAGCGTAACACTACTGTAACAGCACATTTAAAGTCTCTAAAGCCAAACTGCGGTATATAACAAATATGCATTTAGTTAAGTCATATAGCTCTATACTCTGTAAACTGGATTTTATAAAGTCCACCAGAGCAATGCAAATCTAAAGCTCAGTAAAGGACATATGGGTTGGTTCGTTTTAAGCCTTTTTAAAAGGACAGGTTCTGGTTTTATGGAGATTCTCACAGCTCATCTTCAGAAGCATCATACACGACAGTAACTTAATTTTCCTTAAATCGGACACAAAACCCCCCAAAAAAACTTACACCACGAACCAAGACAAAGTTGAACACATCATATACTTAAAAACCCCGTCCACTGCAGGGGAAATCACCATGTGCAACTGAGGGGGAAACGTTGATAAAAGTCCTATAGACACCCTACAATGAGTTGAAATATTAACTTGTTATTTAGTTCTCCATATGTAATTTTTGTCATTTGTATTGTGTCACTTTGTATGTCCCTCACGATTTCCCGTCATCAACCCCTCCCCTAGAGCTGCCCCTGCTTCCTACAGATTCCTCATGCATTAGTGCATTAACTTAAAAATCACTTTAATATTTTCTTTATCAGAGGTCACAAAGAGCTATACCCTGGAGACTAATCAAGTCCTGAACATCACTTTTGATCTGGAACCGCACTCCTGCAACATTTACTTCTTCCCTGGCGAAAACAGTAAGACTGCAATAGTCCTTAAGGGCAGACTGCAGCATGATTTGAAACAAGTGGATTGCGTGGGGTTTGAGCTTTTAAAGCCATGTGGGATTGTACACAAGGCCATCCAAAAGACATGCAGTGGACGGTTTGAAGTCAGAGATGATAATGATGACAAAGCCTTGGTAGTTTTCCTGGAAATGGAAGGTAAATAAACTAAGATCATTTTCATTATACAGTATAGTTTGCTTTGGGCTGATTAACAGACTTTGTTTCAGAGCCACAGTTCAGTCAGGCTTACCTCGGTATTGGTGGTGGTGCGTTGTTCTTCACACTGTGCTGGTGTTGCTGCAAGTACTGCTGTTGTGGTGAGAGATCCTCAGCAAAGGAGAACTCAGAAGCAGCTGCAGAGAATGATAGCGAGCCTGCTGTGTATTACCATGAGGTGAACATGATCTGCTATTTTTTTGCTTTTTGTGTATTTATTTTTTTTAGTTGTGTTTATATTGTCTGTTTAAATCGAACTGCAGTTTGAGCCTGTGGGTCCGGGATCAAACCAGCACTGTGAACTCTCTAATCCACCCAACACTGATGAGGCTCCTGATGCTCCAGTTGACCTGCTGGTTAGTGTATGAACTCAACTCCTGAGCCATTTTTATTCTCCTCTCTTTCCTGCTATTAATGTGTGTTGTTGAACTCTGCAGATACACAGTTCTGCTGCTACGGATTCTCCACCTGCTTATTGTGAGGTGAGACCTAAGTGCATGTTCAATGCAGTTTTGAAACTTCTTTAAACTTAGAAACGAGACTTGGTTTAAAGGCTAAATGTGCAGTGACACGTCTGTCTTTTTCCTCCAGGTTACACCGCCGGCGAAGCAGGAAGAGGCTCCAACCATCACTCCCACCTCCGACCCTGAGCCACGGTTTGAATTGAAGGGGACAATTTTCAATTCTGGTCCGCCACTCAGCTCAGCCTCAACGTACTGTGATGTTTATACCTCAGAAAAATTCAACTTCTTCTAAAAGTCTTGATTTTGAACTGTGTTCTTTAGTACGGTGACAAAGGGATAATTTGACATTTCAGGGAATAGGCTTGCCTGACATCTTTGAGCCAAGAAAAAAAATGTTTTGTAACCACTGGTACATTTACAAATTTATGTTTCTACAGATAGTTTTTTATGGATAAAAAAAACCTTAGAACCAAAAACATTTTGAAGCTTGTGTCTTCACTGCTGCCTGCTGTAGTTCCATATTTATCAAGGAGAAAGAAAATATGTATTTTCGGATTTTCCTCTGTCTTTTTGTTTTTTATGTTGTGATTTTTAAGGGATACGGCACATTAATTAACACTACTGTAAATACATTTTTCTGTTCTCTATAGTTCTGTCAGGAATACGTTATGCATTACAGACCACTGTGAATGTGATATTTTCAGGGAAGATATATGCAGTAGGCACGTTGCAAAAACTGAGGTTTTACAGTTAAATGTGGAATCTGAGTCATATTAACTTAAATAAGGGAACTGTTTTTAGCTCCTGAGAAAGATGCATTCACAGTTTGTATGAAATGTGAGACTGCTAATGAAGACGCTTATTTTAGACTTTTTTGTTATTGTTGCTTGTATGAAGAGTTCATATCTTAGTATTTAATCATATCTTGTACACAAAAAGCAAACTTAGAAATGCAAGGGCCATCAATATGGAAATATTTCTATGCTTTACCAAAGACCTACCCTCCTGACATGTGGTTTATGTTTTGTTTTTATATATTTGATGTATTTGTGTCCATATGTGGGAACTTTTGATCTGTTACATTTAGTTACAAGTGCAATACCCCTTCATCCTGTGAAAGTACTGTCGATTGTGTGTATTGTGTGTATGTTATTTAAGCACTTTCTGAGAAGACTATATGCTGTAAAACCTTTTTAAAAACCCTTATGGACATATCAGCATGTATTTAGACATCTGTTACATTAAAGCTAGCATTATCCTACCTCTACAACTTGTTTGGTATTTGCATTTGTTCCCCTGCACAGTTTACCTTCACTAATACTTAAAGCACCTCCAACAGTGTCACTAGAGAGCCAAAAGCCCATCCAAGCACATAAATTCCTTTCTGCCATAGCAGCTGGTTCACAGAAGACAGGAAGCAGAGCAGGACTCAAACTACAACTGAGGCTTTTCTGTCTCGAGAATAAAAACAACAGAACCTCAGACCTGTCTGACACGCACAACAAGTAGTCCTGTGTAGAGACATTTAAAAAGGTTTATCAGCTCATGCTTTAAAAACTGGAGTATGTGTTCAAACTAACTTTGTAGTAGCAGAAGAAACACACAAAATAAAACTCTAAGCACTAAAACCTCGTGTGACTCATTTAATTTCTTAAAGTTACTTAAAATTAATATGTTTTTGTTTAGCCTTTTCCCACAATAATTGGCAATCTCTGTGTAGATTATATCAGAGACGTGGGAATCCTATAAAGGCTATAGTATGTATGCTATTGTGTAACAAAAATGTGAAAATATCCACTTCCATTCTTTCACAGCTTGAGTTAGGGTTTGTTTTGCTTTTTAAGTTTTTGGGGAAGTGTAACTAGAAGATTTTCTTTTAAGTAACTAAGAAAAGTTTGGAAGGAGTTGCAAAATCTGCATTTATCTGTGTTTTGGACACCTGGTGAACATATGCCCAATATTTAACGCTCTCTAAATTCTGTTAAGGGAAACAGCTGGCTCTTTAGGTGCTCTAAAGTGTTCATAAGCTAGCTGCTGAATCGGTTTGCCATTTCTGTATAATTAAGTGAAGTTGTGGCCTGGGAAATCCAAATGCATAAAAAGGGTTGCAGAGCTGTGAGAGGAAGAGCTGGTGTCTAATTCTTGCTTTATCCTTTTAATCTTTTAAAAGAAATTCATTTTAGATACATTTAGCTGCAACACTCTATCAGTTTCCTCCTTTTTTCACTAATGTGGTGAGAAAAAAAAGGTTGATTTCACAATAGAATTGTATCTGGTCTGCTTGGCACTCCACCAAAGAACAGCGTAGGAGGATTTTGACTATTGATGGTGAAGGGGAGCAAGCAGAAGTGATAATTTTGGCACTGAGGTCAGGTTGCTCCATTCCCTTGATGTGACAGTGGGGGTGGAGATTGGTGGTAAGAACCCAAAGGATTAAAAAGCTTCCAGATGACAGAGCCGTTGGGACCCAGCCTGGCAGATGGGAGTGAAGAGGCATGGCTGTAGCTAATTGAACATAAGTCATCAAATATAAGATGTGTTGCTTGATGCTTGTGCTTATGAAGCCTAATCTAAGATGCCATCAGTGCATGGAAGGTTCTCAATCAGGATAGCTGCCTGATTACGCTGGGTTACGCTGGTCTGGCAGTTGGTCAACCACTTCAGCCCAGACAAAAATATCAGTTGGATTGGCTGCTGTAATGGACTTTCCCTTAGTGATACCAGAAGGTCAAAGATTGTACTTTTGCATCTCAATGGTTCACCATTCATCATTCTTTGATGGTTGACCCCCAGGAATGTGTACCAAAGGAACAGAATACTTTGCTTTTTTGCACAGTGCTTGCAAAGGAAACAGCATTTTCATTTAGCTCAGTTGTCACTGTGGAAACTGTGGTCATGGTAAGCAGCTGGCTGAAATGCACACAGAGTTTGCATGACTGAAGCTTTTCTCTTTGAACTGAAAATTTTGTAAAATATTTTATTGTGTTTGAAATGGTGCAACAGACAGGGCAGAAAAGGACTGTTATGATCTCATTTATGGAATTATTTCCTGTATGCACAGTCATTTTTTTTCTTGTGTAGCCTTTCAATACATTTTGTTTGTCATAGTAAACAAGTTTCATGTGGCTTGATTGCAGACGAAAAGAACATTTTTGATTAAAAATCCCAGAGATTACTTTATTACCCATATCTCACACAAACAGGCTGACAGAAATCAGTTACTATTTTTCTTAACTTGCATTGCCATCACCTTTGTCCATCTTAACTCCTGTCTGCCTTTTCTCATCACTACTCCTTTTTCTTACTCTCTACTGCGTTCACTCGGCCCTCCAGGCGCCTCAGTCGATCCTCCACAACAAAAGACTTTTCAGAGCTCGAAGTGAGCAGCGTCAAAAAGACGCATACCAGCACTAAGCCAGCCAGTCGAACTGCCGTGGTGTCTGCGGACGCTTGCTTATCAGTCACTATCAGTCCAAAAAACCAGAGTCCCAAGACAGTTTTGATAATCCAGAAGACCTGCTTTATCGCACCAATCAGCAGACGCAGAACGATGGACAGCAACCAGTAGCCAATGAGGGCCACCAGACCCCACTGGGCGACGGCCGTCACACCCTCTGGAGTGAAGTGGGGCAGTTTCAGTGTAGCTGTGGAGGGAGGAAATCCAGCTTAGCCGTGTTGTTAAAAAGAATAAAGCTTGAAAATACTTTCTGTTACACAGGAAGCAACAAGAGCAAACACTTACAATTAAAAAGGAGTGGCTTACAAATTGCCCGGAGGGAGAGGCAAGTCTGCATATTTTCACTTGCATTTTTTATTGCCATGGATTCAACTTTACGTGAGCACACACACACACACACACACACACACACACACACACACACACACACACACACACACACACACACACACACACACACACACAAACAGACACACACATAGGGGCTCATCCTGCTACCCACCATCAAATCCAGTGACTCTGAGGATCTCTGTGACGTAAACAGCGATGACATTCAGGCCGCTGGCAGCTCCTTCGGCCAGGAATCGGATCACCATCTCAAAAAACTGGAGTGGTGTGCAAGGAGGGTGGAGACATGCTTTACATTTGTTATTACACAAGGCCACAATTAAGTAACATGGCATACTGGCCAGACTGAAAACCATGCAGAGAGACGACAGAAGACAATGTGCAGGCAGTGTGATTCATAATGCTGACAGGAGCAGCTGGTACAAACTCACTGATCGCATTCAGCTGGGAACTTTAATAGCTCTTATGAGCGGCATCTTAAGATAGAAGATGTGCCGACTTGGACAAACAGCTGTGCGTGCTGGTGACAGCTGGACAGCACCCCTCTCTATTCCTGTGCACCCTCCACCCCCGACTCACAAAACAACACACACACAGACACAGTACTGCAAGGTCAAGGGGAGCCCAGCGAGTTGGACGCATATCTAATCTGCACCTGTTGCACTACACAAGGCCACAAACTTAAGAACTTCATGCCAGTGTCTGTGTAACTCATAAACAGGTGTAATAACCTTCTATTGGTTTTAATTTCCAAAACTTTTAAAGCTTTCATAACTGTAAAATCGGGCTTATTTACTTATTACACTATTATACCAAAGATTTTGCTCTTTTACACTGATTTTACTGGGAACTATCAGCACAGCGTCCAGATCTTTTGTTTAGCTTAAATCTGAAGTTGCAGAAACAGGCTTTATTTTCAGTTTGACTGCATGCGGGAAGTTAACTCACACATTCAGACACACTAGGTGATTCATGGTGAACTACTAATGCACAATGACGTTTCCACACACACACACACACACAAAAGCTCACAAGTAAAGTGAGCCCTTACATGCAAATATCACTGTACTGAAACACACAGCTTCTCTACTCTCAGCGCTATATGGTGTAACACGACATGACACGACATGGGGCTAAACTGAACCAAGTGAGTGGGCTCTGTTTAAGGCACCATGTCAGGGCAGCACGATGGAAACACCCAGGAATGTTGCTTACCATGGCCAATGTACCGACGTTCTCCTGACCAAGCAATGACTCAAGAAACAACACTGCACTCTGAGGGAAAAGGGAGCCACCAGTAGTAGAAGGAGCAGGGAGGCGGAGATGAGCGTGTGGAAGAGTGCGAAGGGGTGAGGAGAAGACAGAAAAATGAGGGCAGAGAAGATGATGGGGGATCAGGAAGGGAGATTATCAAGTTGAAGAGCACATGGAGGGGAATGCGTGTGTAGAGGGTGAAGTGATGGGTGGAGAAAGGTTAAAGAGAAAGGTTGGAGCTTTCAGAATTAGTAATCGGGTACAGTTAAGCACAGAGCGAGAATACTGAGAGAATAGTGAAGTTAGACCACCGCATTTTAACAATTCAAATCCACTTCCTGGTGCAAGGAGGAAAAGAGCGTTATCCCGCGGTGCACCTCCCCTCTTTACCTCAGCAGCTGATCGTATCACGCTGGTGCCCACTAACGACTCCGCGTACCGGTGGATCTCCTGGCAGGTTCCCGTGAAAACGGTACGCAGGGTAACCACCGATGGGCTGTCCGCCTTGGCCTGCTCAGCCCGAGCTTCGGCTCCAGCCCAGGCCACCGTCAAGCCGAGAGCCAACACACAGATAGTAAGAAAAACCCGAGCCATGGCACATCCACTGCGCTCTCAGCCCAGACGCACGGAGTCACTGAAAGGAGGTTTGAGAACAATGTGTGGAAAATGTGCCAAGTGAACGCGCACAGGTTCACGCTGCAGCTCAGAGCAGGTTGAGCAGCTCGTGTTCAGTGACTCAGACAGAAAATCACAGACTTAAAAATGGCTTCTGTTGGGAGCATTCGCTGACTGCACACCGAGTTTTAAATCAACATGTAGCACCAACAGGCAGAAGGACAGGCAGTAAGGCGCACGCTTTTAAAAATAATAAGACATTCAAGTGTAAAATTTGAAATTCAGATAAAACACAGGTTTAAAAATCCTTTCGGTTTCAGGAGGATATTATTACTATTGGTGTTTAATTATAAACTCTGGCTGCACTGCAAAAAATATCCAATCCTGGAACTCTGCGCTCCCCAAGGACGCTCCAGCTATATTTGGTAAGAAACCGTTAAAGGCTTAGATCCAGCAGCGATAGAGATATGAGATCATCAGTCAAAACGTAACGGAAAGTTACAGTTAAAAACAACAACAAAAAAACTCCCGCAGTGTATGAATCCAAAAGTGGTTTGTTTCCTGGGCAGATCTGCAAGAAAACGACCGAAACTCTGAGTGTGAGCTGGCCACGAGTCTCCTAAAGCCTCTTATTTCAGCTCTGAGCCCCACAGCGATCGAGGTTGGTGCTCCTTTGTCTCTGAACTTGCATCAAAATGCACTTCTGTGATGGGTTATGTTGCATAACATTTAAAGAGTGAGAGAGCGAGAGAGAAAAAGCCCTTCTTGCCACCGTTCCCGTTCGGCACTCCCTTCCTTCCAGCGTTTCTAACGACCGTTTCCAGCGTGCAAACACGTCTGGGGCTTCGGGGAGGAGGAGCAGAGGGAGGAAAGAGCTCTGCTGAGCGGGGATAAACAGAGATTTGCACACTGGGACTTGTATTTTAATGCTGCAGGATCAAACGTTAAGACTTCACATGGTTTTAATAATAAAAAAACGAAGAAGAAGCGGAACAGTTTTCATGTAATTTTAATAACTAGCAGAACAGCAATTATACAGCACCAAGTCAGCTTGTTTCAGGGCAGCACTGAGCAAAAACAGGCAAATAAAAAAAAAAGAAAACGGCATTCACAGTGTACATACACACCAACATCCACAGCACTGCTGTTTCTCTGATAACTGGTTTAATGGGCTGCTTTCAAATGAGTGCACACAAACAAGCCTTTGTCTGCACCAGCATTAAAAAAAGAAAGTTAATTAGTGGACACTGGATGAGAGAAGCTTCGGTTATTGTTAAAATAAAACAACAACAACAACAACAAAAATCTTCAAAGCATCACTGCGGCCCACACAAAGCTGAAATCATCGACTGTCTCCTCACCAACAATCTCTTGCACATCAGAGTGTAAGGGAAGTACATAATTGGAGGAGGGGGCACGTGAGTGCCGTGCTGAGCCTTTTCCCCAGGCAGTGTCTCTACTCCAGCTCATCTCGCTGACCCGCTTCCTCACGAGTTTAGCTGCGTGGCTTTTAGCCGATGTAGATGCGATGGAAGTCGTTGGCCCCGAAGGCCGCGTTGCATTTGGGGCACTTCCTCTGGCGTGTGTCGTAGCGCGTCTTAACGCACTCGAAGCAGAAGACGTGGAAGCACTTTGTCAGCACAGCATCCTTCACCCGGGAGTTGCAGCACGGACACGTAAGACGTGCCTGTAGAGAGAGAGAGAGAGACAAGGAACGGTTTGAACAATACACTGAAAAAAACATTGTTTTTCTCGACTGAATGGTTCCTAATGAGTGGAAGTGAATATCTAGGGCAGGAGTGAAGCCCTCAAACCAGACTTAACACTCAACCACTCTCTTAGAAGAACAGAAATCCTGTAAAGCAGGTGTGTATCACTAAAGACTCAGATCATAATTATATGTACTGCCTCTGGGGATAAATCTGGACAAATGTGATCACAGGCCTATAGGAATCTGAAATTTGAGCAAGTCTGTTTTCTAACAGATCCACTGAATTCCAGTTGTTCTATTCTGTCCTCATAAAGACTCTGATCACACTCCCAAAAACACACTCAGCTATAACACCTGTCAGTGTATTTGTTTATGGATTTTGCTTGCAGCCATGAGACATTACTTATGTGTAACAGGAACTGCCTGTATTTTTTCCCCCACAGTTGGTGAGACTGTAGTTTGACCTCAGATGTTTTTCAGCATTAGAATCATAAAGTTATCAATGGTCATCAGATCAGAGCTAAAGGAGAAACTCTGCCACAAGGTTAGCCTCATTTTGTTTTTATAGTAAATAGGAAGTTATAGCTAGCAACCTGTGAGCTCAGATTAGCACAAAGACTGAACACATGGGGAACAGAAGCACAGGAGTTTATGTTGCTGTGCTTTATCTTGGTTGAGACTGGTAACTTCCCAGAGTGTCTAAAAGACATAACCTCCTGCGAATGCTGCAATTTCTACACTAAAGATGCAATACACACATCACTGAGCTTTAAGTGTTCTGGCAGACTCATCGGATCACCTTCGTTGAGAGCCAGGCTAGTCTGCTGCAGGACTTTATGCCAAGCTGAGGGTCTGACCTTATAATCATTTATTTCTTCATTTAGAATATCGTCTCCATTGCTGATTTTCTCGGCTGGCTTCTTGGCCTTCTCAATCTTTCTCCTCAGTTTGGAAATGTCCTCCTGAAAAAAAACACAATGGGGAGATGTAACAGCTGTAAGTGACAGGAGACACTCCCTATATTTTGGGCTCATCTAACAACAGACTTTATGACTATAATAGTCTTATAGCCCTTTTGTACTGACTTGACTCGACTTTTCAGGGGTTTCCATTAGGTCATTTTTAATATCTGCTCTGCTGGGTTCCAAGCAATCTAAGACGATCCAAAAATGTGACATCAACAGACTGCATGCTGCTGATTGGCCAGTCAGTGGCGTCACTTAAAGAGTCATGAGAGCAACTCTTTCAAAAAACACCATGTTCAAACCACCGGGTGCAGATGTTTACCCTTGATTTAGCAGCAGGTATACCCTCGCTTCGACGTCCTTCTCTGTTGTGCCGCTTTTTGTCGCAGCTGCGTTGCTATAACAACTCCAGGCACCTTAAGGTGCTACTCGATCGCAATGGAAAACGATCAAAGCCGAGCCGAGTTCCATAGAGTAGAGTAAGTACTCGTGGAAAAGAGACTATTAAGTGGCATTAACAGTCATGTGAGAAGTTTTCACCGTTTCATTGGAGGGGGAAACATAATGGAAATATTGGAATTATAGAGGAAACAAATCCAATTAGGGATTAGAAAATATGTTGTGTATTTTGAGAAAAAGTCATCTCGAAAGTCTTATGACAGAAAATTAAATTGTTTTAAATCCAGTTTAGATTTATGGTACAATCTGATACAGGAGAGCTGTGGAGGATCAACATGTAGGGCTGTTTTCAGCAGTATAGTTAAAATTGCTTTAAAGTCTGTAATCCCAGTGCATATGATTATGTGACGGCATTTCAAACTGCCGTGTTTACTGAAACTTGGTGATTTGCGTACCTGTGCTCGTCGCGCATTGAAGGACTCCTTTTCCCTGGAGATGCTGTTCTCAACGACCTCCTCTCTGACCAGCTTGAGCCTCTGCTGAACCTGCTCCAGCTGAGTTCGCACCTCCTCCGAAAGCAAAGCCGACTCCTGAGCCTGAAGGAGGATGAGAGCTGTCAGTGGGGAAATTCTAATCCCATGCACTCCACTGTGCACACACAGTACAGCATGTGAAAGTGATTTTAGTTATTATTTACTTTAACTATGTACATCTAAATAGCATTAAGGGAGCTTAAATTCCTTAATAGGAGCTCATTTTGTAGCTCTGATTCTGCCCTCTTAGGGAAATTTGATTTACAGCATAGTCACAGGGCATTTTATCACATTATTTAAGCTTTACATATGATCAAGCACAATGTAAAGGCACTTTCTAGTGAGCTGAACCGGCTCTCCAGTGAAAGATGTATTGTTAGAAGCCTGCAGCTAAAAATCAATAGACAAGATTTGACTGCTCACAACAGTTTAGGAAGAAATCAAGCATTGGTGTGTTCTCCTCCTCCCCGTTACGTAGGAGGGCAACGCCTACATCAGTATCATCTGAGTGCTCGATAACATTTAGGATGAGCTGGTATATGAAATAAACAATAAAGATCATAAAATTTCCAGGGGGCAAATGTGTGCGGGGGTTCGTCAGGAAGCGATATGCCAGTTTTGATGTCAGCAGTGCCTCCACTCTCCAGCACACTGAGCAGATAAACCACAGAGGGTCTATAAGGTGCTGATTGTTGATCCATTTAAACACTGTGCAACTGTTGTTTGTTAAAAGTTGTTTCGCTGTAAGGCTCTAGGATTTTTTGGCACATCTTGAGAAGGTACCAAGGCAACATAACAATCTCAAAAACTGACTGCTCAGCTCAACAGGCTGGGCCTCCGATGGACTTCTGTTTCCTTCGAGGTCAGGTCAGACGAAAAGGCATCACAGTGAGTAGCCATTCGGAGTGGTTGCCATCCCTGGACAAGCAGGTTTTCTCCTGCCCTTCACCTCGGCTTTTATCCCCTTCATACGGAACAATATGTTACCTTGCGTTTATTCATGTCCAGGGCTTGTGTTCGAAGTGCCAGCTCCCTCTCAGCAGTGTTGATGGTGCCCTGCAGGAGGCGCTCCTTCTCCTCAAGCTTCCTCACCACCTGCAGCTGGGCATCGACCTGTAAGGTACAGCGCAAACAACGATTTCAAGAAATCCCTTTTATTTAAAAAAGAAAAAAAAGAAGAAAAAAAAAGAAAAAAAAAAAAAGAACAAAGCAGGAAACTGTTCAGCAGAAAATGTTTTACCATGTTTGTTACAAACCACTATGATGCACAGTGCATTAAAAGAAAGTAATTAACTATATTCAATTACTAATTAGCAATTAATCTATGCGTGGTGGGGGGCGCACATGGGTGCTGCAGTCGCCTTGTGCTTCACCTGAGTTTTTAAAGTAAGTAGCTGGTCGGCGAGCTCCTCCTTCTCCTCTTTCAGCAGCTTGTGGATCTGGTTGGACTTGATTCGCTCGCTCATCAGCTTGAAGTTGGCGTCGTCTTTTTCTCTGAGCTGCTGCATCAGGCGGATGTTCTGTTCCTGCATGTCCTCAAAAGCCTGGCCCGTCACGTCCATCTCGCTCAGCAGAGCGTCTTCCTCCTACAGGAGGAGGCGAGAGTGTTGGAAGAAAAGAACCAGGCAGAGGTATTTAAGAGTAAAAACTAAATTATGAGGTCCCGCACCTGTTTAGCTATGGACAGCTTCTTGTTGAGGATGTCGATCTGCTCCTCCACAGAACGGATCTTCCTCAGAGCCTCTTCATCAGCCATTTTCTTGCCTTCCTTCCTCTCCCTCTCCTCCAGCTCTCTCAGCCTCTGCCGCAGCTCCTCTGCCTGAAACCAGGACATTTATACGGGAAGCCCAAAGCACATTACTACCTGCTTCCATCCATCCATGTAAAAAAAATACATAAAAATCAAGCCAGAAACGTCTTAGTGGACCAAACAGATTCACTTCCACTACTTTGCCGATCATGTTAACAAAACGCCTGCATTGTGCAGCGCTGATCACCTCAGACTTGGTCTTCTTCTCTGCAGCCATGAGCTGGACCTTGTCCCTCTGCTCCTTGGGTGCTGAGCGGTACATGTCCAACAGCAGCTTCATCTCCCGCTGGGACTCCTGGGCTTTCCTGCACAACCACAGTGAGAATATTTAACAAAACTATCACCTAAACGAACACACAACACACAGTTAAAGGAGTTTCTCAAGCTATGCTAGCTCCATATACAACAAAAAGACCGTTCCCCCATGTTTTACATGT